CTCATCATTTGGCATTACTCATATAACAGGAATCCCATACAATCCACAGGGACAAGGCATAGTTGAAAGAGCTCATCAAACTATTAAAATGTACTTATTAAAGCAAAAAGAAGGAATTGGGAAGGGGTATATATTCCCCAAAGATAAACTTAAAATAACCCTTTTTACTCTCAACTTTTTAAATTTGGATTCATCAGGACTTATATGCCTTTCCATATGTGTCCAAAAAATGTGCATAAGCCCAAGGTACTTTGGAAGGATATTCTAACAGGACAATGGAAAGGTCCTGACCCAGTAATTGTCTGGAGTCGGGGGTCTGTTTGTGTGTTTCCACAGGGAGAACAGCAACATCTAGCTGATTGGCTCCTCTGTGGTGATGCTCATTGGAGATGCTCATTGAGCTGTTTCCCCGCCCTTTCACACTACCAGCTGATGATTGGCTCACAGCAGCCCCAGCAACATCTAGCTGATTGGCTCCTCTGTGGTGATGCTCATTGGGCTGTTTCTCTGCCCTTTCAGACCACGGAGCTGCTCATTGGGGGACTTTTTTGGCTCCGCCCATGCGACCCAGCCAATCGGCCTCAAGAGCAGAAGGATTGTGGGAGGGGGAGAGGCTGGGGGTAGAGAGAGAGGCTTGTGGGAAGCCGGTGGTGGCAGTTGGGCTCTGAGGGTTTTTCCTGAGGAGCTGTTTTGTTTGGCGTGTGTAGTTCTAAAAATAAAGTTTGTTTCTTTTGACAAGTGGCTCCTGAATTGTGCCCAGCCAGACTGTGGCACCTGGCAGGCATTAAGGATGATGGGCACTCATGTTGACACATCCTTGCCATAAATAATCAAGGCAGGCATTAAGGAAGACTGAGTAGGACTTCCACATACCAGCAGGTTAAGGGCTGCTCTTTCCCCAGTATAGACCCACAGAGGTTTTCTGAATTAACTGACTCATGAATTTAACAAGTATGTGATTAAGTATGCACTCGTGCCAAGCACTGCATAGACACTGGGGGCATGATAATGAATGGAATTTGGTTTTAATTCTTGGGATGGTTGGGATAAAAATGTATGTGGTTATCTGCCAAGGAAGAGCGAATGAGACAATCACATAAGCACAGTTTACCTCATGTCTTTCTGGAACAAGATGGAAACATGTGGACGTACCCCCTGACAACCGCTATAATGGGCAGAACGGCCTTGAAGCAGCACATGGAGGAAACTACTTCTGCCTGGGAGCTAGCCAAGGTTTCCAAAAGCAACATGGAGACAGATCTTGATCCTAATGCAAGTCATACATGGCTACTGAGATTCAAGGCTTGGCAGGACAGGTAGTAATAGTGTCCCTGTTTTAGATTAAAAGTATACAAGGAGGTCCAGAGAGAACACTTTTTCCCAGATTATAAAGACAGTAAATGTTGCAGCTTAAACAAGAACCTAGGTTTTTAGGCTCTCAATTTGGTGGCCTTTCCACTGGACCAAGCTGCCTTCTTAAAATATGTGCTGATGGTCTGAGCTGTGGCTGGCCGGCCATGTGGTGGGCAGTTTGGTGGGCCACTGTAGTCATTCCTAAGGATATGGCCTATGTTTGAATCCTAGCTCTTTGTCTTATAGCTATTAACAATTTATTTTATCTTTCTATGCCTGTTTGCTTATCTATAAAATATAAAGACCAACCTACCTCATGCTTCTCATTTAACCTCATGGTTACAAGGAATAGCTACTGAGGCTTTGAGTTGAGGAGTGAAAACTGAAAGTCGACAGTCCAAAACTACCCTGTGGATGTGCTTTGTTGGTTTGTTTAACTGGAATTGGTTGTGACGTTTAACTGATGGGAAAAATCACATAATAATTTGAATTTCTGGCTTTATTTTGAGGGGAAAAAAAAAAAAACACGATTTGGCAACCTTAGGTCTTCATTTCCCAATGGCATCAACTAGAGGAACCGGGTAGATAGAGGGGGCCCTCCAGTTCATGTCTGCCTCCACTCAGGCCAATTCTCTTACTCATACTGCCTGCTTGGGTCTGATGGGCATTCTCGTTGACACATCCTTGCCATAAATAATCAAATGTATGGCTGGGGTTGTAGCCCACTGGTAGAGCACTTGCCCAGCACACATGAGGCCCTGGGTTTGACCCTCAGCACTGCATAAAAATAAATAAACAAAATAAAGGTACCATGTCCATCTACAACTAACAATAAATAAAATAAAAAATAATCAGGGGCTGGGGTTGTGGCTTATGGTAGAACACTTGCCTAGCATGTGTGAGGCACTGAGTTTGATTCTCAGCACCACATACAAATAAATAAAGGTCCATTAACAACTACTAAAATATCTTAAAAATAATAATAATCAAATGTAGAACCCTCCTAAAAAAGTAGATCTGCTGGGTTAAAGTGAGGCAGGGAGACTGGAGCCCTCCTGTTCATATTCAACTGTTGCCTGTCACTCAGTCCCACTCCCAGCCACTGCCTGAGTCTCCTCCATGAACCCAAGGCCTCTGTGAATATGCTCTAAGAGCCACTCAAAGTTTGGGCTTATAGTGTACTGGTCCTCTGGTTGATTCAGGAACTAGATCAGCTTACAGAGTAAAGGCTAGGGGTGACTAGGTAACTAACTGACTTTTAGTAGTTGCCCAGGGGATCAGGAAAAAAGTATGTGAACTGCTCAGCTGTACTGAATGGTGGACAAAAGCTACGTCCCGTCTAGGGTGATCTACTAGGGGTCTCAGCTCTATGACAGGACCCAGGTTCCTGTCAGAACCATGTCAAAATAGGTCAAACCAGATGGCCTTTTGCATTCAAATAGTAAAAAAGGAGGGAAACTTGGTGAAGAACTTGGTACAAAGAGTCTGCAGACAACGTGTTTACCTCGTAGGCATCAGTCAGTTGTCGAAGGCCTCTTTTCAAATAATGGAAGTGCTTCTCTCTCTGCAAAATAAGCCTGGAAAGACAAAGAGCACATAAGCCTAGCTAAGAGACCAAGCTTCCAACACACACACGCACATGCAGCCTCAGGACACGCCCCACAGTCATTCAAAAGGTGCCCAGCACTGCTGCAGCTCTAAAGGGTGACTATCCGGGAAACAGAGGCCTGCATCTCAGTGTCTCTGAAGTCGCTGAAAACCAGGCTGGCAGATGTTCTTGAGCAAGATCATCTGAAAGAAGTGACCCTGGGCTAACTGAAAAGCTGCAGTGAGCCCCCACATCCAGGTAGTGACGATCCACCCAGAAGGCTCCTCAGGATCTAACTAAAAACAGGTTAACTTGTGATCCTCCATGTTTAATTCCCCCCACCCCCCAACCCCAGGAGTGGGGATCGAACCCAGGGGTGCTCTACCACTGATGTACATCCCCAACCCTTTTTATTTTGGACAGAGCCTCACTAAGTTGCTGAGACTGGCCTCAAACTTGTGATCCTCCTGCCTCAGTCTCCCAAGTCACTGAAATTACAGGTTTTCTCCACTGGGCTCAGCTCTATTCTTTAAGTCATTTAAACCTGAGTCTTGCTGCTTCCCTGACTCGCTCAGCTGCTGTCATTTCTTCTGGAATCACTTCTCCAAGATGTATACTTTGTACCCGGCCTGCTCCTCAGTTATCCATCCATTATTCCCTCCCCGAAATTCCACCTCCCACATGCTGACCCACAGCCCTGGCTAGAGGAGGTGTTTGCATTCTGTAGTCAGTCACGTCCTTGGCACTGACGTCAGCATTGCTGGCTTTGAGAAGGAATGTGCCGCCCATGGCCACCTGCACAGGCAAAGACAGAGGCAGCACTTCTAGTTTGGTGTTGCAAAAGGGGTCTGAGTGATTATGGAAGGAAGAGAAAGGAAAAGAATGTTGAGACAGTCACTGTGCTTGCCGACTGCAGAAACAAAAGGAAGGAGAGCCACAGCCCCTCTTCTAGGTAGGCAACTCGACTGTTTCTACAACTCCCACTGTTCATGCCCAGAATAAGGCCATGAATGTAGTCTCTACCCCTGAAAGTCTCCTGATTCAGTGATGGAAATGACGTAAGTACAGAAATTACTAAAAAACAAGTGGGGAGGGCTGGAGATGTGACTCGCCTGGCATGCGTGCGGCCCGGGTTCGATCCTCAGCACCACATACAAATAAAGATGTTGTGTCCACTGAAAAAAAAAAAAAAAAAAAAAAAAACAACCCAAAGGGGGAATGATAGGTTTCACAAAGGAAAAACAAAAAAATATTACTTTGGTTCAAAGGGGAGGAAGGCATATCACTAAGAAAAGAGTAATCAGCAAAGTCTATGCAGAAGAGGCAGAATTTGAAGTAGACAGCCCAGGTGGAGGGAGAAATTTTCATTGAAGTTGAAGTAGCCACGAGCAGGTAATGTGAGTGTGCTGCACCGTGCCAAGCGCAAAGGGCACAAAAGGAGGGACAGGTGGGGAGATCGGGCCTAAATGTGGGAGGAAATGGGAGAACAAGCACCAGACCCTTTTTATAGGGCTCTGGGAAGAAATTCCTCTTAGCTGAGGAATTTCCACTCAACTTAGTAGGCAAAAAGGAAGCCCAGAAGAGCTTTTAAAAAGCCATAACTGTGCTTTAGAGAAAGTATCCAAGGGCACTGGACACTGTGTTTGCAAGCTAAGCCAAGTGGAAGGTCAGAAGCGGGCAGAGCTGACCCAGAAAGTGCTCAGTGCCTAGGCCAGCCTGGGGACTTCTGGACACATGGAGTGTACTCAGATGAGGGCTGCTGGATGCACACATGCTATGGTTTGGACATGGTCTGTACCCTCTGAAATTCAGGTTGAAATATGATTCTTAATGGTGTTGCAGGGGGCAGACTCTATAGCAATGATTGTCATTAAAAGGGATTAGAGCCTTTTGTAGGGGAGAGGGTCTGTTCTCAAGATCTGCTGTAAATGAGGCTGATAGTCATGTTTTGTCTCTTCCCCACGTGCCCTGCTTGCCTTTGGGCTTTCCACCCTGAGATGAAGCAGTATGAGGTCCTTCTCAGAAGCCAACTAGTTGCAGCTACTTCATGTTCTTGTGTTTCCTGGCCTCCAGAACCATTTGCCAAAATAAGCCTCTTTTCTTTATAAATTTCCCAGTCTCAGGCATTCTGTTATAGCAACAGAAAAATGGACTAAGGCAACATGTGAGACTCAGAAAGAGGGATCATGATTACATAAACAGAATGAGAATGCTTATCTGCAAGCTGTGACAGGTGAAGTCATAGAAGGTGGCAGAAGAGAAAGAAAATGACAACAGACAACAGTATGGCCGGTGGCCTTTAAGGGCATTCAGGGGAGTGGTGACAGCAAACTGCAAAGGAAGAGGCCAGACTGTTTCTCTTTTGGAACGTCCAGTGGCCAGGTCTCAGTGAGCACCCACTCACTGCAGGCAGAGGCAGTGTCTGGTGCTGGGTTCCAGGCTGACTGCTCTGTAAAGCTATGGTCCAGGTGCGCACAGGCGAGTGAATGACACATCCAGAGAACAGGGATCAGGGGAGTATGGTGGGCTGTGACAGCTCACAGGAAGGGTCAGAAAGACTTTCCCAAAGGGAAGAGTATTGAGCTAAGTCTGGAAGGCCATGAGTTAGCTAGATAAGAGGACACCACGTGTGTCTGTTAGTTTAGATCCAAAGCTGGAGCAAAAGTATACAAGGCGGAGAGCAGACAAATCAGACTGGAGAGGAACAGAGGTGTCAAATCATGTGGACTTATAAGTGCATTAAGGAATCTGGTCTCAAACCTAAGAGCAGATGGCAGTCACTGAGCTTCATCATGGGTGACCTTGAAAACAAGCCAAGGAAAGACAACTGTCAAAAATACCACAGGATTCACTATGTGAAATGTCCAGAATGGGAAACCCCTAGACAGAAAGTATACCAAGGGGTTGCCCAGGGCTGAGGGAGATGGAGGAGCTGGCAATGATACAGGATTTCTTGAGGGTTGAGGAAGGCAGTAATGAAAATGATCTAAAATTAACTGTGGTTGATGCTTGTACATTCTGATTATATTACAAAGCCACTGAATTCTACATTTGAAACAGATGTAAATTCATATGTGATATATGAATTACATCTCATTAAAGTTGTTACTAAAAAACAAAGGCAGTTAATGTCTTTTTAAAGGGAGTTACTGAAGTATTTGGGGCAGCAGGAGATGTGAGTCTGGCAATATGGAAGGATTTTACATCCTTGCAGACAAGGCGTTTCAGAGTATGGAGGCAGGCAAACCTAGGGCTTTGAAGTGGGGAAGAGGAGACTCAAGAAACTCATGTGAGATAGCCTCTATTTTCTCAGGATCATGGGAGAGTTGTGGAGTGGCCGCAGTGGTGAACGTGTTAGGGAAATAAAAGTGTGCACGACAGTTAGTAAAGGCATAATAGAAACTAAGTAGTATAAAATTTAGTGAAGAAGGTCAGCAGACACTGCGAGTGATTTTTTTTTTCCTTGATAATCTTGCTGGGATTATTTAGCAAAAGGAGCTAGTGGGATGCTACAGGAAGGACTAGCAAGATTGGAAGAGCATGAAAGCTGAGGAGGGAGACACGGAAAGAGGTAAATGAACTGCTGAAACAGTTCACCGTCTGAGCTGGCTCAGGGTGAGCAGGTAAGAAACCAAGGCCAGGACAGGTCTGATGGACAAGAGGAACCAGGAAGGCCTGAGAGACATTAGCAAGGAGAGGCTAAGAAACCCAAGGCAGGTGAGGGCAAGCACAGAATTCAGAGCTGGAACTCCTGGCTCATTCTCAGCAGATTCATAGCAGGATTTTCTATATGTCAGTTCCTTCCTTTCTGAAAAATAGACAAAAGAATTCAAATATTCCAGGGCTGGAGTTGTGGCTCAGTGGTAGAGTGCTCGCCTAGCACATTCGAGGCCCTGGGTTCAATCCTCAGCACCACAAAACAATAAATAAATAAAATAAAGGTATAGTGTCCAACTATAACTAAAAAATAAATGTTAAAAAAAAAGAATTCAGGGCTGGGGATGTGGCTCAAGCGGTAGCGCGCTCGCCTGGAATGCGTGCGGCCCGGGTTCGATCCTCAGCACCACATACAAAACAAAGATGTTGTGTCCGCCGAGAACTAAGAAATAAATATTAAAAAATTCTCTCTCTCTCTCTCTCTCTCTCTCTCTCTCTCTCTCTCTCTCTCTCTCTCTCCTCTCTCACTCTCTCTTTAAAAAAAAAAAAAAAAAGAATTCAAATATTCCAAATACCTTGAGATGCAGAGACCTAAGAAAGAGACAATAGAACACTCTATACCATAAGAGAACATCAGTGACCTCGTCTAGAAATGTCAGGCAAGAGAACACTGACTTTCTTATAACAAAAAAGTCAGAGATCCTAAGCATAATGCTGGGGAGAGGAATGGGGTGGGGGGGTTGTATTTTACTGGAATTATACTGTAACTTCATAAGTGAAGAGAGACCACGTCTGTCTTCAGCATCTACAGCAGGCCTCAGCACCTGTGTGCAGCAGGTTCTCAGCACCCATGTGTCATTTGAACAGGAGAAATAAAGGAATACAGTAAGGTCAGTTCCTCACTAGACACAAAAGACTGTTCTCCCTGCATCTATGTCCCTTCAATTAAAAAAATAAAATAAAAAAATAAAAAAACCCACAACAGACCTCAAAGGAGAAGTTGGAATTCAAGCACACAAGGAGAAGGGTGGTCAGACGGAGAACACAATGTCTACTCTGGCTCAGGGCTCTGCTCTATCGCTTCTCTCAGTGTTCACATGCACCTTGAGGCAGAGGATCCCTCAGCCCAAGGTTGCCTTCCCTATTGGACTACATGGGGTTTTTTTTGACCTTTTTGTTTTGTTTTGTTTGGTGTGTGTGTGTGTTGCTGTGAATCAAACCCAGGGCCTCATGCATGCCAGACAGACACTCCACCACTGAGTCACATCTCCAGCCCTGGACTGGGTGTTTTTAGTAGCTGAATTAAACAATTAAATAAATGCATATATTTTA